TTGAGGTGGTAAATTCTGCTACCCTTCAGTATCATAGCATATTGGGCTCTGCATCAGGAGGAGCAATGTTCACTTTTAAATCTAATCTGGAGAAGGGGGCTGTTCAGCGTCCACAGCAGGGCTCCTTCCAGGAGTTGACTGAAAACCAGAGCAGGAAGCACAAAATGTTTTCTTATTCTCTGTTCCCAATACAGGTATGGCCAAACACTGAACTATGCAACAGGCCTTCTCAAACCTCTCTTCCAAGGTTGTATTTTATTTGAAATGCAAACAATAAAGGTGGGTTTTGTTGCCTCTGAAACACAAGTCACAGCAAAGCACAATCAGCTGTTTTAATTTCTTGCTAAAAAGAAATGACGCTTTTATTTTCCACTGTTTTATTATAAAAATCAACATTTCATTTGTTACAACTCAGCTTATTGTAATAATCAAAAGGGGATTTATACAAGGTATTTTTATACAGTTTACAATTAAAGCACTTATTTTACAAAAAGGGGGAAGTGAATAGTGGACAAGGGCTGACCAAATGTTGGCCATTAAAATATAAATACATCCTTGCAAAGCACCATCGTACCAAAGTCCATGAACAAGAACACCAGGTGACTTAAAGACAATAACAAAGATTAAAGCTTAAGAAAAAATTTAAAAACACAAAGGATAAACATCTGAAAGCAGCACCAGATCCTTCACTTGCAAATAAGGCTAGTCCAGCTTAAGCTTCTTGGTATCCTCTTAACTCTTCAAATTTGCCTAACCCCAGATACTTAATTTCATGTAAAATTAGATTTATTCACTTTCTTTTCCTTGTAACATTCATATTTAGGTATATCTATCTATCTACAGATATAGATAGACTATAAAGATAGATAGATAGATAGATAAATAGATAGATAGATAGATAGATAGATATCCCTGCCCTGCTTATATTTGTTTTAAAAAAAATGGACAGTTAGGCATAAGCAAAAGCACATTGTCTCTAAATCTTTGGTGTAAACTTTTGGGTAAACCCTAGGTAGCAGTGAAAATCTACAAGTTAGTTTTTGTTAGGTCTATATTCTTGAGTACAAGAAATCACATAGTCTATAGTTGTATCTGTAAAGTCATGAGGATTTTTTCCAGAAATAAACTTAACAATAGCTTAAGGATGCTTTATGAAAAAGAAAAACTGAGCAAAATTTACCTGGACTTAAGGAGGGCAAGAGTAGTCAGTAAGAATCTTAGATCTAAGATTCTTACTGACTACCCCCTTCTACTCAGGTGCAGGCTTAGTTTAATGAGATGCAGAATCAAGGCAATGGAAATATCCTGAGTTATATGGATTCACAATGCTCATAATTTAAAAATTTTTAAACTATAAATGTAAAATGTTATCCCCTAAAACTGAAAATTTCATAAGCCAAATTTTGGGACTATTATAAAATGATGCCATCCCAGAAGTCAGAAACCACACATATGCTACCAGTACTTTCTAAAAATCATCTGTTATTTCTCTTGGCTCATTTTAGGCTTCGGATAAAGAAAGGAATACCAAATAAAATTAAATTTGAGTTTAAGAACTCTGAGAACATGTTTTAAACAACGCTTGATTATAAACTCCTGACTCAGTCCCTGCCTACACTTAGTGTATAGTCTCATTTGTGGATGCCCAAACATTTGTTGGCCAACTGATACTCACATACTCATAGCCACACTCCAAACATACTATGTACGTCATCATACAGACTTATGCTTATTAAAAGCTTGGGGGTATGAAAAGCCCAAGACTTTTGTTTCTCAATTTTGTTAGATGTGTAATGGTAACCAATACGCAGCTCTTATAGCATGCAAATCAATGAAGTGGCAAGCTTCCCCTGCAGGAGAAATAACAATTTGAAACACTACGTTTCTAGGAATCGAATCTAGGCACAGGACGCCACCAGCACAACCATCACAGAGAAGCAGAAGTAGTCTATTATGATTGCTGGTGTCCCATTACATAAACATACACAGATTCATTAACAGGCTAGGGAAGCCACAGCTACTAACTCGCCTTGAAGTATTCTTCATTAATAGGCCTTGATGGCAAAACAAAAAGATTTTACCCCAGAACTAATTGCTACCTAACGCAGATGGGTCTGATACAAATTACTGACCTTGGAGGATTTTAAAATGATGAACAAATATAATCCTCAATTCATGCTACAATTTTACTGCTTAAAAGTCCCACTCCCAAATTATTGGCCTGTTAGATGAAAATGTACTGTAAAGTCATTTCTAAGTATATGTCGTCCCTTTAGAGTAGCTGTGCTCAAGGATCCCATATACCTCTTGATGGTATATCACAAAGTATTTTATATTAAAATTAAAATAGCTAAAGGAACTCTAATTTTCTGCTAGACAGACGACATCTCACGAATGCTACTATAGAAGAGCAGCCAAGTGTCAAAGGCGTAAGAAAATTCCATGAAAGAAAAATTAATACTGAGAATCCCTCTAGCCCTTAACTCCATTTTTTTCCTTGTGACTTAAGCAGCAAAATCCCTTGGGCCACTGTTCAGAAGACCAGGGCTCTGAAGGAGACAAGTCCTAAATTATAAAAGTTCAGAGTTAAAAAGACCACCTCAGTGAAGACTAGTCTACTATATAGTGCACAAAAAATATGCTATGCTAGAGCTCATTTCTCAGATAATTTCAATCACATCAGTAAATAGGCATACTTTAAGACGTATGTTCAAAATTAAATAATTTAGTATTTAAGGAATCTAGTAACATTTTATTCCTTTTTTCCTCATGGATAGGGAATATAGCGATACATCAAATTCCAAACCCTTTTCCACTTTTTTTGTGGTGTTTTTTGTGCTGTTTATTTTTTATCTTCAGTTTCTCCAATTAAACCTTTTGTGTTTAATAATCAAGAGAGTTTACTTAAGCTTAACTGTCCATGTAACCTGAGGTCCAATCTTTCCTGAATTTTGATAATTCTCTCATTTAAAGGTACCCTCCCCAAAATATTAAGAATCCATCTCAACTACCCCAGAAAGAGGATTCTGAGATTAAGCGGAACTGCCTTCAAATAATTTCAAACAAATTGGCACACAAATCAGTATTTTGCAAGAAGAGGCCATTGCCATCGCAGTACAAGCACTTGGACTGAGATATAACAAGGCAATATTCTTCTTAATTCGTTAGTGCAAGTTTCCACATGGGAAGCCCACCGGATAAAGATGCACATTAAAAAATGTAAACATATAGAATTCTCAAATTCTAATTGATACCCAGTTATTGCTAACCTTTCCATCTTCATTTAAGCATCAAAGGCCCCCGTGTCACAGAATGCAACTCCAGTGTCCATTCTGTTAGACTGTGAGCACTCTGTCCACCAACAGGAAGAGTTAATGCTTGTTTGACTGAAATGCAAGACACTGATGGATCACCATTTATTTATATGCAAAATCAAGGGCACCTGATTCGTATAAGGTGTCCCCAACAATCTAAGCATTATTCTGAAACCACATTTTTTTCTCTTTAAAAAATTTCCTTAGGTATTTTTAATTGCTTAAAAAGTTACTTCATCCCTGCCAAAATTCTGAATCTTTTCTTCCATTGTTTTCTCTTGGGCCCTGAAATCCAGAGAGGAGGCCTCAGCAAGACGGAATTAAAAAAAAAAATCATTCAGTAACTGACCGACATCTGTTAAAGTAAAAATACATTAGTTTAAAAACACATTCAGTTTTAGCAGAGAAGTGCTGGAAACACGTAAAAAGCAGGAAACTGACTTGTGGCAAGGTGGCAGAGCAGTGCTAGAATCATCCCACATGTCAGCCCTAAGAGCTGAGGATGCAGCAGCCCAAGGACCACGCAGGTCAGGCAGATCATGGAAGAGCCTTCCATTATTCCCCTCCACCCAAGTTCTGACAGCTGAGAAGTTACTATTTGGCCTTCTCATTTAACCCATATTGGTAAATTTGTTTAATCATCTTAATCCGTAACGGGATAAGAGAGAACACACACAAATATATGAGGTGAGTTTAAGAATAATTTGTGGATAATTTGAAAACAATCTAACATTCACATTGGGTAACAGGAAGATATATTAAACTCATGTCACACATTAAAAGAGGTATGTATGTAGACATCATTCTGAGAAAAATTGGCCTAAAGAACATGAAAATGTCACAAACAGTTAATAAAGGGAAAACCTAATGATAACAAAAAAATTCTCTTTTTAAATAGATTGTCTCTAACTGGAACATATTTAAATGTTTTACTAGGAAAAAAAATATATATAAATGATTTCATATTGTGATATTATATGCTGAAAGTACTGCAAGGATATATGATTAATTTACAACAAAAACATAATGGTTAAATTTGTAATTCTTAAACATTGCCTATATGTGTTGTAAAAAGAGATTTTAATGAGCATTAAAACAATCTTGGAAGAGGAGCAATAATATGTCTACCCTTTGATCATTATGCAAAAACAGCAGTCAAATTCAAGAGCTAAGCCTACAGAGGAATGGAGCTAGTAGAAATATTAAAATGAAACCTTAATTTAGAAAATTTCATTTAATCAATCCTCAGATAAAAAACTGTGAATAAACTGTGATATCTTGGCAAAATGGCCTACAAAGCTGCTGGGGGGAGGAAGCAAGGTAAAAACGCCTAGAGAAAAAATTAATTCTTTTGACAGAGGTTGTGGGTTCTAAGGTAGGGACAGAAGACTTGCACACACAAAGAGCCCCACACCGTCTTACTGGACAGCTGATCTCCTACAACAGCAACACCCAGAAGGGATTTTTATAAATACCTATTTTCCTCACTAAAATAATTGGATTCCTAGAGAAAACAAAGCCCTTTGTCCAAAGTTAGTTTTAATTCCTTTTTTTTTCCTTTTGTGATTTCTTAAACTTGTTGGCCCTCAAATGTTAGTTAACATGAAGGCTATTTGGCTACTTCCAAGTATCTATGGTTTGCTACTCTCAGATGGACTTAAACTTTTCTTCTTCTTCTTCTCTCTCTCTCTCTCCTTTTTTTTTTTTTGGTATCAATAAAGCCCAGACATTCCTGGTCAGTGATGCCTTTATTCCTTTGTACTCAGTCACTTCACTGGGTTTAAGGCATGCTTTGTGTATTTAGTTTGCAAAAATAAAACTTTTAGTACAAATTTATTTTTTATACAAATTTTTATGGCACAAGCAGCAAATCTGCTGTTTTAAGAAAATATATAAATATCCTTTTCTTCTGTACAAATATCTCCAGTATTCCCTACCCCATTTATAATTTTTAACTGTACATGGTCTGCCTCATCTTTCTCTAATAGCTCCCTCCCCCCCTCCAGATCTCAACCAAATTTGTATTTACAGTTTTGCATTGGAGGCAGTCAGAGGAGGAGGGCCCCTCCTCAGGAGGAGTCTGTACAGGGAGAGGGGGGCGGTGGGTAGAGGTGATGAGAGTAGCTCCTCTCTGTGTACGGAGAAGGTGGGCAGCTTTCATAGTTCTCTTCTGCTGACAGGTATTGGCTTCGGGGTGTGGGAGGTGGGGGCACAGGCTCTGAGTCATAGTTCAAGTCACTAGTGTAGCCCTTGGCTGTTGCCACTGAGGTCATTCTCCGGCTGGGAGCATAGTCACTGTCACAAACATCTGTGCTGCAGGGTGTGGTAGGGGGTGCAAAGTGCCGATAACTGTATGGCCTGTAGCTGGTAAGGGGGAAAATCAAGAGAAGCAGACACTTAGTTTTACAGAAAAGCTGTTTTCCCTATCAGAATACAGAAGTATTAGATGTAAACTTCACTTTGAATAGAATATGCTACTACAATTTAAATTTGTACAGACCAGGAGGCAATCTGCAACAGCCAATTAAAGGAGGAAGACAGCATGTATTTCATATTTGCAAATAAAATGTGACTAGAGGCATTTAAAAATGGATAGGATGGGAATGCAGAAGTAAACTCAACCTAGCCTCTGGATGTGTCCTTATACCTTCTTCAAGTTAAACCGTATCACTGAATAACAAAGAACTATTCAAAGTTGTACTTAATGATCATCTCTGGAAAATCTGTTACACATTTTGCATTTAGTCTACACAGCGGACGGACCTCACCAATTTCTGCTGTTCCACAGTCTGTGAGAAGAATGGGTCTTCACATATTTGATCCTACTCAATCATGTTAGTATTCTTTTAACATTCTTTAACTGCTCTATAATTTACCTAATGAATAATTTAATGATGTCTGAAAACTTCATTCTCTCTTTAAAACAAATATTGTGAAAGCCATGCTGAATTCTGGTAGACAGCCTAAGGGGCATATCTATCCCATTACTGTTACTATCAGCAAAGACAAAGTGCTATGGTTTGGGGGAAAGAGTTTTGATCCCTTGTGTGTACAGACAAGCATACTGTCCTAACAACAAAATGATCAATTCTAAATATCCATGTAGGACCAGTGTATTTTCTAATATGTATTTAGAGACCTAATTTATTTCTTATACTTGTTGTTCCACCTTTTCAAATAATCTATAGCTATAATCAAGTTTGCAGCATGGTTAACTAATAAAAAAGGAACTGAGAAGACATGAACACACTAGTGAAAAGAAGAGCTAAAAGTGCTAGCTTTCCTATCGTTTCTACTTCTATCTGTAACCTCATATACAACTTATATTCCAAATATTGCAGAGCTGATCTTATTTCATATTTATCCCAACCAAGATTTCTTCATATGCTTTGTCACCAAAGTGACTACAAGTGAGGGACAGGTGCATGTGTAAACCTGAAGGAACAATCCATAAGATGCCCAGTACTACAGACTGCCACAAGATACTATCCCAAGATATAAACCATTTGATATCACCCAGGGTTTGCCTCAGAAGAAATGGCTGCCAAAAGACCAAAAGTTACATGACCTGCTGAGCAGGTTCTCAAGCGTTTTTACTACCAATATTGACATGATGTCACAGTACTTTTTAGGTTTTATCTTTCTGTCCAATCAGGCATTGAGTCTTGGTGAAATTTCTTGGCTCAACATTTAAAAGGCCCAACACTTCCATTTTCACGGGGGAAAAAAAAACAGCTAAGAAGAAAGGAAATAAAATTAACAAAATTCTTTTATGTTCTAGTCTGGACAAAAATCTCAACAAATGATAAGTGTGACTCAGAAGAAAGAAAGTGGGCTTAATTTGAGACCTGGGAAATGGTCAAGTAAGAAATGTTTTTGATGCAATTATGTTCATTTTAATTCAACAATGTTTTATTCAATTTAAATAAATTAATTTTTCATTTATTTTTTCTTTTTAAGTAGGCTTCACGCCCAACACAGTGCTTGAACTCTTGATCCTGAGATCAAGAGCTGGATGCTCTGTCAACTGAGCCAGCCAGGTGCCCCCCCAAAATTTTTTAAAAATAAAATTTTAAGTCTTTCATTTTGTTTTTCCAGTTTACAGGTTTCTGTAACTGAACAATCAAACTAGTGGCAAGGAAAGCAACATTTATAATAAAACATAAAAACATCAGTTCAGAATCAAGCCTGTCTCAAATAGTCGTATCTATAAATTGAAATGCAAGTCCTGAGTAAGATACTATAAACAGTTTCCACTTGGTTTTTATATATCTGTAAGGTTATATCAGGATAATTTGACTAGAAATCTAGGAAACACCTTAACTAGAAGATAATAGGCACTTGAGGGATGCCAATAAACACAACACTCAGCATTCAGAGACTATCAAGCTGCTGACTTTCTGCTGGCCTTTGAAAGAAGATGAAAAGAGTGCTCATTTGGGCAGCACATATATTGAAAGAGGATGAAAAGACTGAGAATATAATACACTAGTACTTCACCTGCTCAATATGCTCTACAGACACAAATCAGCAGAAAGGCATGATTTCCCCCTTTCTGTCTTACAAATATATTTCACTTATTTTAGTGAGCCATGATTTATTCCAAGCAATTTTATGAGAATTTTTTCATTCCAGCTTGTAATACACTATGTGAATAAAGCAAGGGCTGAACTTCAGCTTCTCTTCACTTCTCTCCAATTCTATGCTCTTCGGCCCCCTGCTATTTATACCTCTCACAAGTCTCTGAAGTTAGGTTTGACTGACAGTCTAAGAATGGGTTATTGGACAGTCTTATGTCAACAGACTATCTTACGTCAATTAGACGATCAATCAAACCTAACTTGAGCAGTAAACTATCTTGAGATCAGTTATTTTGGTGGGTAACTTTTCCTTAGAATACTGCCACAAAAATTAGGGGCTCTACTTTATTACTCTAAAAGCTAGCATTTGTGACTCTCTTTAAAAAAAATGTATAATGCCCGAAAGAAAAGGATGTGTGGTAGGGGCAACATTAGCATTACCAAGACAAGATGCCTATTCTCTCTCGGTGACCATCATCTACTTATGCAGGGCTATATCACATCCACAACCAGAGTTCTTCTTTCTTCTAATAAATACTTTGATTATACTAGAGGAAGATATGTATTACCTGTAGGACCTATGAGTGGAAGGACTATTTGAAGAATAACCAAATTCCATAGTGTAATGTGATCGCTCTGTGGCTGGGGATGGCGGAGGGTTCAAAATCTAAAGGGAAAAATAATTAAATTATTAAATTAACAATAGTCTATGCCACACAAAGACCATTAGACTTTCCTACATGCTCTTGCTTCATCTGTTTGTATTCCTTTCCATTACACAGTTAGCACAATCTTTCTTTCCCAAAGAAATGACCTCAAATAGTACTTTAGGAGTGGGGCTCTCCACTTCCTAAAACACAATTTCATCACGGCTCAACAGTGCAGTGTGATAAGAAGGAAATCTGTACGTCACTGGTTTAAGTTCAGCACAGCTGGGTTCTGTTATTAAATTATAAATGTTTAGAGAAACATTACTGACTGAGGAGAAATACCAGGTATGCTTCCTTTTTTGGGGAGGTCACAGAATGTAGATTCTAAGCCTCTCAGGAGATACTATTCAGTAGTTCTACTTTTACCCAAACTATGAAATTACTGCCTAGTGCTTTCAAATATGCTGGTTCCTACACAGTAAACTTAAAGATTTAGATTTAAGAGTGCTTGCGTGGTGGTGGTAAATCTCACCTGAGAGCCTTATATGCCTAAACTGTATACTAAAAAACTCTTTACATTACCATCATTGAGTACCCCCATTTAAATAGGTCAAAAATCTAGGATCCTATTAATCTTGGCATTCAAAGTCAAACAAAGGAAAAGAGACTGCTTACTGCAGGGAAGTAAGTGCCTTTGGTGCTTGAAGAACTACTTGATGATGCTCCTGTGACATGAGCTCTGTCATAAGGGGGTCCACTGCTTCCCCCCATGATACTTAGGGAGCTGATCATTGATTTACCTCGAGACATTCCTAAAATGAAGGATAAATACTGAAGATGAATAAGATCTACAAAAATTATTTCCACTCATGTTTTTATTCAACACTAGGATTACAAATAACAATAGCCAAATGGTTTGATTTTAAAACAATTATGCCCTCTTTTCCTAATAATCAAAAATACTTAATGGAGAAGGGAAATGAATGTTCTCTAAACATGAACACTGCTGAGAGCTGGCCTAGAACAAGACTAAGTAAATAGTTCCTATCCCTTCTCTAGGATAGAAGCAGAGCTCTTCAAAATAAGAAGTTTTCAACCTTAGAGGATTTGCAGAAGAAAACGACTCTGGGGAGTGGAGGTTGTAAAGCAGGATAGATTAAAGAACAGATTTACTCAAGAGGAAACTAAATCCACTTTTAAGGGCATTAATACAAAGTACGGATTACTTCTTCATCTTCTGGATGCAAATGTTGTTGGAATCACAACCACCAATGTGAAAGAAGAAATTCTATTATTTTCCAAGTGATTTCCCATATTCCACTAACTGAAAATAGGTATAGCAACAAGGAATCATTATCATTAATAGTTTCAAAATCGTATCTGTTTTCTTAGATTTACACCCAGAGTAAGTTATTTTCTGAGAGCTTTTGCCTCCTTTTCCATATTCATTTAAAAAAAAGGCTTCTTTTCACTATGGGCACCAGAAGGCACTGAAAAGAAAGCCGTACTTCCCTAGGGCAATATGGTCTACCCAAACACATGGAATTTCTGGCTACTTCGTTGTTGTTTAGGCATAGCCTAAGATAATATATCCCTCCCTGTTATCACCCAGCTATTTCCAATCTTTGCTGAAAAGGAATCTTAATCTATTTTTTTCCCACCTTTAATTGCTGGGCTGAGGTCCCCTGGTAGTGCACCTAAAGGACCTGTGGTTTATGACTCTTCAACAAATGTCTAGCTATTTACTTTCAGGAGAGTACATCCAGAAATGCAGTTTATATAGTATGTGCAATACATGCAGTCGGTATGTATAAATAAGGGTATTATGTATTTGCTTTATAACCTTTCATAAAAAGAGACAGTGCTAAAAGTAAAAGAGAACATTTGTTCTTAGAATTTTTTAAACCCAAAGTAGTCTAGTTTGGAATAGACTCTAGGCAATATCCTGTTTCCACAATGGAAAGTTGGCAATCCTGCTAGGATCCCAGACTTGATTCTCAATGGATCAGTCTTAACTCACCTGGAAGAGATCCTGACAAAGAACTCGGATGTGGCACATAACCAAGGGGCACAGAAGCTGGTCCATGAACTACATAGTCATTAGTCATGGTTTCCCCATCTCCCTTCATACGTGGACACAACATCCTCTGGCAGATAAAGTATATGGTTCCAGACACAAAAATGGTGACAATTACTCCAATAACTGAACCAACCGTGTTGGTGGCCTGTGGAGCTGGTTCCTCAGTTGGATCTAAAATGAGAATGCAGTAGAGTTATATAAAGGAGAAACAACTGTGGACTCAAAATAGTTATTAAAAAGAGGGCTTCTGAGTAGAATGTGAGCTAGTGAAGACAACTTACAAACATTTTTTTATTTCTATGAATACTTATACACCATGCCCCATTGGGTATATAGGTAAATATCATTAGAAATCAAAATGAACTATCTTTTTTTTTTTAAAGATTTTATTTATTTATTCATGACAGACAGAGAGAGAGAGAGAAGCAGAGGGAGAAGCAGGCTCCTTGCTAAGCCAGGAGCCTGAAGTGGGACTCTATCTGAGGACCCTGGGATCATGACCTGAGCCGAAGGCAGATGCTTAACCATCTGAGCCACACAGGTGCCCACAAAATGAACTACCTTTAAGTGAAGACAGAAATAAAACAATACATTGAAAAGTGTATCTATAAATTCATAAAAACAAAGACGTAAGTGAATCATAGATTTAAACATCATTAAGTTCTAAATACACAGATAAAATTTTTCCTACTTCATTTTGTATATCATAAAATAACATGGTTATTTTGAATTTCAGAGAAAATTTTAGGGCCAAAAGGGATGGACCTAGGAAAGTCATCAAATGTTTTACCTGGCATAATGAAGAAGCGAAAAGCAGCTCTGAGCTTGATTTTAGGTTTGAAAAGTGACATACAGGCCTGGTGAAGGGAGATTAGAAGCTAAAGAGAGCATTAGCTCTCAGGCCCAATATGCTGGTACCTTCAGAGTGAATCTATTGCCTGAGGGCAAGAAACGTAAGGTCTCTGATACTTGAGTACTTACAAAGGCCAGAGCATGAGAGCACTAGAGGAAGAAGACCCTGCTTACCAGATCCATGAGTTATGAGGCTTTAGAGCCGGAGGCATCAATATTACAGGTAAAGGTAAATAGTAAAAGGGCTTGTCAAGTTTAGAGCGTTACTCTTCTATTTGGAAGGAAAATCCTTCCATTCTGAAGAGTCAGACTATATCTCACACTGCAGATCTTTTATGTGTGTGTATGAAATTTTTTTTGAGAGAGAGAGCAAGAGTGTGAGCGAGGAAGAGGGGCAGAGAGGGAAGGAGAGGGAGAAAATCTAAAGCAGACTCCCCACTGAGCACAGATCCCTATAACAGGCTCAATCTCATGACCCTGAGATCATGACCTGAGCCGAAATCAAGAGTTGGATGGCTTAACCAGCTGAGCCATTCAGGGGCCTTATACCTACAGATGTTTAAAAACCTCTCTTCTGCTTCATCTTACCTTAAATCTCCCACCCACACAGCTAAACTTGACCTCCGACAGATTAAATGAGAGAAAATGCTATCATTAAGTTACAGAGTATGCAGGGGCTGCCAGTTACATATGTTGTCTATGGACTCCGGGGTGCAGATTCTCCCTAGTCCTTGTGAGCAGCCATCTATCTTTCTTATTCCTTTCCAGTGCCTTGGCATTGCTTTTTAATGCCAAGCTTCAAGAAAGAATAGTTTATACTATCTCCAATTCTTAGTCTTCACATCTTAACTCACTGAAATCAGGCTTGTATCCTCACGGCCACAGTAAAACTTGTCTGACAAAGGTCAAAGTTCTCCTATTTGCCATATTCACTAAACTCTTCATCTTACTGACCTCTCCAAACATTCAATACCGATGGCTCTTGTTTTCTTCTCAAAAATGTCTAATCAATATCCTTCCAAAATACCACTCTCTTAGTTTTACTAGCTCTGATTATTCTTTTTCTGTTTCTATTTGTTTGTTTCCTTCTCTTCCGTCTCTTAAGTGCAGAGTTCTTGCCAGAGTTCTATGTCCCACTATTTTCCTCTACTTAACTCTCTCTGAGAGACTTCACCCACAATGCCTCAGCTTTAATTATCTTTAATAAACCGAAGAGGCCAAATCTCTCTCTTGAGCTAAAGACCCACATAATCGACAACAACTTCCTGAACAGCTTCATTGGGATATCCCATTGACAACTTGAATGCAACCTATCTACCCTGCACTCATCTTCACCAATATCCAACAGGTTTTGTGGCTCCCAGGAGTAAAGCAGATCATAAATAAATGATGGCACCTGTGGCAAATCAAAGGCATTTAAATTAAATTTTTAAAAAGTAATAAAAAACCTGTATCAGACAAATATTACATCTGGAGCCCAAGATACGGAATGATCCTTCAGTTTTCATTCTCTGCTATATATTCTAGTTAATGACTCCAGTCACTCAGTGAGTCAACCTAAACTTATCCACTACATCTAAATGGTTGCAAAACCTTTTTTACTCTATTTCTGAAATCTATCCCCTCCTTTCCACTACCAGTGCTCCTCTTGATTTAGATAATTATCTTCTGCCTGAACTATAATAGCCTCTTAAATATTTTTAAATTAGAGGCTGCAAGTCATTAGATGGTGAAAACAATTTAGTGAGTTGCAATCAGCATTTTAAAACAGAAAATTTCAGAATACATTCTATATCATATGGGTAAGTACTGTTGTATGACACTTTTGTTTCTTTACGTGTACACCCACACCACTGTATTCCTCTTGATGTGATCAAAACGTGTGAAAGCAATCAATCTAACATTTCCCTGCCTATTATCTTATACTTCCAATCCATCTATTTTTACAGCTTTCACAATTACATAGCCATGCCAGTCCTTTACTTAAGCTTTTCAATGGCTCTCCGTTATTCTAGATGCTGTCTAGGCTCTTTCAAAGAAAAGCAAAGTCTTCTCTGATCTTACCTTTACATATGTTCTCTTGCTGATACCCCTCCTCAAGACACAGCTTGTATTCTGGCAGTCTAGTTATATGTAGTTTCCCAAAGGTGCCTAGTCCACTCTGTTTTTGAATAGCATACTCTCTGCTTGGAATATAATCTCTCCATATTAACACTATTCACTGATCAAGACCCAATCTTAAGTATCATTTTTCTAAGATGTCTTCCTTGATGAACCCCATGTTCATTCCTGAAGATCTGACCACTCTCTTTTTTGATGCTACTACTTGTACAGATCTCTATTATAGCACATTTAATACCACTTATCACACTCCTTTATCAACAGTGTCTACTATGAGCCAGGCTATAGAGCTTATATACATTGAATTGTTTAATTTTCTTACAACCACCAGGCTAAGTATTATCTTCATTTTAAAGATAAAGCAACTCAAGTTTAACAACAAATAATTTGCTGGTAAGAGGTGGAGCTAGAATTCAAATCCATTTCTATTTGGCTTTAAAATCTTTATTCTTACTACTAGCTCAACCAGAGAGGACTTTGAGAAACTTGGTACAGGAACCATGTACCCTCAACACATGGCAGGTATTCAGTAAAAGTCTGCTGAATAAATGAGTAAGTTCTAAAAGTCTTAGTAAGGATCCCATTTGAATTTTGTAAAAATACCAGCTTAAAGTCTTCATTATGTGTAAAGAGTTTTTAAATGAATTCTACCTAAATTTCATTAAATCAGTTTGACAGGGTAGACCTGGCTTACTCTTTTTTTTTAAAGATTTTATTTATTTATTTGACAGAGAGAGAGACACAGCGAGAGAGGGAACACAAGCAGGGAGAGTGGGAGAGGGAGAAGCAGGCTTCCTGCGGAGCAGGGAGCCCGATGCGGGGCTCCATCCCAGGACCCTGGGATCATGACCTGAGCCGAAGGCAGATGCTCAACGGCTGAGCCACCCAGGCGCCCCCAGACCTGACTTATTCTGAATTCCATTCAGAATTAAGTTTATCAGTTTGGGATATAGTTTAAGTCAGGGCATTTGTCAACAGTTATGAACCTTGAAGAAACTATGAGTTATGTACCCTAGAGTCTTTAGGCATAGGGGTATATGTTGACATAAGAATCCTCAGGTGCATTTTAAGGAAGCTCTTAAAGTCACTGAGAAACTGGTGGAAACATGTCAAGAAAAAAGTGAGAGATGATAAACATGGGATAATGTTCAGAATCTCAAGTTCATACCACTGACTGATTTCTACATATCTAAATAGTTTGAGACTTTACTAACTTTAGTTGTGGCAAAATAGTATTTATTCTTTTCTGATGCTTTCCTTAATGTTTCTGTGAAGATTTTTGTGCAAAGAAAACTGCTGTCTTTAAGGAATTATTAAAAGCAAAACAAAAAATCCTGGTACAAATAACTAGCTTAACATTAATGCTTGTTTCTTTTCTTTTTTTTTTAAAGATTTTTATTTATTTATTCTAGGGAGAAAGAGAGAGCGCAAGTAGGGGGTAGAGGGAGAGACTCTCAAGCAGACTCCCAGCTGAGCAGGAAGCCCGATGCAGGGCTTGATCTCATGACCCTGAGGATCCTGACCTGAGCCAAAATCAAGAGTTGGATGCTTAACTGACTGAGCCACCCAGGTGCCCCTAATGCTTGCTTCTTAATAAAGAAATACTAATTATAAGTGAAACTCACCCATGAAGAAAAGGAAAAACTATTTAAAAAATTCTCCCGTAAGAGTAATATATAAGGTTTTAGTCCTACTTACAACAATCCAGTTCATCTGACTTGTCACTGCAATCCACATTATGATCACATTTCTTATGTTTTCCAATGCATTGACCGTTGGAACAGCGGAACTGATCAATTAAACAAAGCACTGGGGAAATAATGTAAATAGTTTTCTCATTTTTACTAGCATGTAAAGTTAAACTCTGGCAAGAGTCAAAAAGTACTTTCTGGATGTAAATGAAAAACAAATTAGACTTTAAAATATAACTTAAAAATTATTCTCTGGGGATTTCCATTGGTAGAGAGAAAAGAGTAGAAAAAGAAATCCAGCAGGAAATTTCCTATTTTGTTCTTTACATTAAATTTCATCTTTCACTAATAATCTGTTAAGAATTAAAGAATTCTATCTACATGGATTTCTTTCTTTCTTTGTTTTATTTATTTATTTATCTGAGAGAGAGGAGAAAGTGCACACAAGCAGTGGGTAGGGGCAGAAGGAGAGGCAGACTCCCCACTGAGCAGGGAGCCCGAACCAGGGCTCAATCCCAGGGCCCTGGATCATGACCTGCGCTGAAGGCAGAGCTTAACTGCCTGAGCCACCCAGGTGCCCTCTACGTGCATTTCTAGACACTAAAAAATTCTAGAGAATTTGTTTTTACCATGTTAAAGGTTAGTGGTGCAAAGAGGAAGATATGAAATTATTTTACATTGTAATAAATAAATCTAATTCAGAGTTCAATGGAAACAAGGACTATTTTTACATACTGAAGGTCTAACTTTTGGGCCTCATCTCTCAATCTGCAAAGCTTATTAAAGTGTATAAACCTTATGCATGATAAGTGGATTAAAACAACAATTTGGAACATGCTACTAGGTTTAAACATAATAAAGTCAAATGTACTTGAAAAAACCCCAAGTCTACCACTGAGCCAAAGCAATACTCTGAATTTCAAACAATTGAACATTAATGGAAAAAAAGACTACACAACCAGGCCCCAGGAATTTCAGATACCTTCACAGTTCTTCTCATCTGATTTATCCTGGCAGTTTGCATCTCCATTGCATCGGAGGGCACCATCAATACACTGCCCACTGGCACACTGGAACTGGGACTCTGAGCATACAGGACAATTGAGCTCGTCACTGTGGTCTTCACATTCAGTAAACCCATCGCAGCGCCAAGCCACAGGAATACAGTCAATTTCTCCCGTGAAACAAGTGAACTGCTGAGGAGAACATGTTGGGGGTTCTTCAAATGAACAAGGGGGAGAGGAGTGACAAAAACACAACAGTCACACAAATGTACAAACACACTTGAGTGAAGCTCACTTAATAATTAACATATGCAAAACACTTTTTAATAGATAAAATCTGTAAACTACCCATCTAACGAGAAAATAAATACAATTTTTACACTACTACATTTAGATTTACTAACTTGCAAAACTATAAGACAGAAAAAAGTTTTCTCGTATATTATAATTCAAGTAGGATTATTTGCAATCCATTATAATCTCACACATAACTGAGGAATAACCACCATAATCATCCACCTACAAATATTTTAAAGTTAGCCTACAATTCATAAATTTTTTAGTGATGAGGTTCTCAAAGAGCAGCCCAGGAACCATTGGGGAAGAGGATCTACAAAGTCAAAACTATTTTATAATACCGAGATGCCACTTGCCTTTCTCACTACACTTGCCCTGACTCAACAAAATGAATGGCTGGTAAAAGTCTTGGCAAGTTAGCAAACTCAAGTGGTTATCAAACTGTTATTAGTAGTCACTGCATTCTGCACAGCCACACACTCACAGTTTAAAAAAAAAAGCCTGTTTTAAATAATGTTCTTGATGAACCAGTAAAAATATTAACTATATTAAAATCAACTCTTGGAATACATGCTGTCTCTTCAATAGCATTTGATAAAATGGGAAGTATGTATAAAGCTCATGCTGCATACCTCAGTATGATGGTTTCTCACAGGAAAGCACTTTGAGTTCTAAGCTCAACCCAAAATGGAACACCATTTTTATTTTAAAATTGAAAGAACTGACAAATAAACTATAGTTATTTACACTTAGGTATCTGGCAAGAAGTTTAAAAAAATATGAATTAGCAAGGAGACAGTCCAAGATGGTGGAGGAGTAGGAGACCTCAGTTTCGTCTAGTCCCAAGAATTCAGCTAGATAGCTATCAAATCATTCTGAACACCTATGAATTCAACCAGAGATCTAAGCTGCAACTCTACAAATAGAAAAGTGACCACTTTCTGCAAGGTAGGAGGTGCAGAGAAGTAAATCTGAGGCCATATATCGGGAGATAAACTGAGCGGGGAGGGAGCCTCCATAAGCCAGCACCTGAGAGTGATAAGAGCAGCAGAGCAGAAGATCAGAACTTTTAGAAGTCTGCTCCGGTGAGGGATGTCCCTGCCTGAAAGGTGTTCAGATGGCGAAGTGGGGTGGACTCCTCGGTGGGACAGTGTGGTCTCGGGATCTCCGGGGTCACAGGAAGACGAGGGGTGCCTGACTGCGGCAGAGCTCCCAGGCACTGGAGCAGGGAATGTGGCTGCAATCAGCGAGCCCAGGAGTGGGCTCTCAGCTTGGGGTTGCCATATACCACCAACCCAGGCACCGTGGAGTTTAAACATAATAAAGTCAACCCCCCTCTCCGAGCAGGGGGCCCAGTGGGCAGCAGAACCGCAGCAAGACCTCACTCTGTCCCCTAGGAGCGGCACAAGTGCAAACCACACAAGTCTGCAGGGTTTGGAGCCTTGAAATGGGGTTGTGGGCCTGAGATAGAAATACCTGGTCACAAGTTGGGTGAGCACGGAGTGCAGGTGGAGACCAGGGAGATGGAAGTGATTGACTGCTTTTCCCTGAGGGCACACTGAGGAGTGGGGCCCCCGCTCTCTCCTCCAGGGCTGGAGATTGGGAGGCTGCCATTTTCACTGTCATCCTCTAAAGAGCACAGAAAGCCTTCAGGGAACAAAAGCCACATAGAGCCATCTGGAGCTGCTTACTTAGCCTGGCCCCCTGGCAAGGGTGGTGCAGGTCCACCTGGGACAAAGACACCCGAGAATCAACGCAGTAGGCCTCTCCCCCAGCAGATCAACAAAAACATCCCGCTAAGACCAAGTTTACTAACCATCATATACAACTGTAAAACTACAGCGCTAGGGGAAAACAGTATATAGAATTCATGTTTTTTCCCCCATGATTCCTTAGTCTTTCAATTTTAATTTTTTTGTCTCTTTCCTTTTTCAACCAATTTCTTATCAACGCTTTTGTAATTTTCATGTTTACACTTACATTCTATCCTTTCGTTGTATTTAATTTCTGTATATAAGTTTTTTTTTCTTTACAATTTTGGGATGCCGTTTCTTCTAACAGACCAAAATACACCCAGAGTCTAGTGTATGGACCTGTTCTCTTCACCTGTCTATTCTTTTTTTTTTTTTAACTTTTCTTTTTTTTGTTAAAGTCTTTTCAAAATTTTTATCTCTACAATTACATTCTATCCTTTTAATGTATTTAATTTTATTTGTGTGTGTGTCTGTGTGTGTGTGTGTGTATATATATATATGCTTTTCTTTCTTTACAATTTTGAGATGTAATTTTTTCTAACAAACCAACCAAAATATACTCAGGATATAGTGTATTGTGTATTGCTCTGTTCTGTTCACCTGTCTGTTTATAAGCTTTCTTGTTTTCTTTTTTTTTTCTTTTGTCTTTTAACCTTCATTTTTACAGTTACATTCTATCCTTTAATTGTATTTAATTTTATTTTTGTACATATATAAGTTTTTCTTTCCTTACAATTTTGGACCTAGTTTTCTAACAAACAGACCAAAATATACACAGGATCCAGTGTATTGCTATTCATCTGTCTGATTATATTCTATTTTTTTTTAATTTAATTTTTTTCTTTTTTCTGTTTTGGGTCTCTTCTGATTTGTTTAGTGTGTATTTCTCTGGGGTTGTCATTGCCATTTTAGTATTTTGTTTTCTTGTTCAGCTAATCTTCTCTGGACAGAATGACAGGACAGAAAAACTCACCTCAAAAAAGAAAACAAGAGGCAGGACTGACTGCCAGGGACCTAATCAGTATGGACATAAGTAAGATGTCAGAACTAGAGTTCAGAGTAACAATTATAAAGACGCTAGTTGGACTTGAAAAAAGCACAGAAGACACTAGAGAATCTCTTTCTGGAGAAATAAAAGAATTATAATATATATAATAATATATAGAAACAGTGACTTTACAGGTAATACAATGGCACTAAATTCATATTTTTCAATAGCTACTCTGAATGTAAATGGGCTAAATGCCCCAATCAAAAGACACAGGGTATCAGACTGGAAAAAAAGCACCACCACTGATATGCTATCTGCAAGAGACTCATTTTAGGCCCAAAGACATCTCCAGATTTAAAGTTGGGGGGTGGAAAACCATTTACCATGCTAATGGACATCAAAAGAAAGCTGGGTGGCAATCCTTATATCAAATAAATTAGATTTTAAACCAAAGACTGTAATAAGAGATGAGGAAGGACACTGTATCATAATTAAAGGGTCTATCCAACAAGAAGATCTAACAATTGTAAATATTTATGCCCCTAACATGGGAGCAGCTAATTATATAAACCAATTAATAAAATTAAAGAAACACATCAATAATAACACAAGAGTAGTAGGGGACTTTAACACCCCACTTTACTGCAATGGACAGGTTGTCTAAGCAGAAGATCAACAAGGAAACAAGGGCTTTGAATGACACACTGGACCAGATGGACTTCAAATATTCAAAACATTCCATCCAAAAGCAACAGAATACACTTTCTTCTTGAGTGCACATGGAACATTCTCCATAATAGATCACATACTAGGCCACAAATCAGGTCTCAACCAGTACCACAAGATTGGGATCATTCTCTGCGTATTTTCAGACCACGATGCTTTGAAAATGGAACTCAATCACAAGAGGAAAGTCGGAAAGAACTCAAATACATGGAGGCTAAAGAGCATCCTACTAAAGAATGAATGGGTCAAACAGGGATTAAAGAAGAATTTTAAAGATTCATGGAAACAAATGAAAATGAAAACACAACTGTTCAAAACCTTTGAGATGCAGCAAAGGCAGTTAAGAGGGAAGTATACAGCACTACAAGCCTTTCTCAAGAAAGGGCTCAAATACACAACCTAACCTCACACCCAAAGGAGCTGGAGAAAGAACAGAAAATAAAGCCTAAACCCAGTAGGAGGGGCGCCTGGGTGGCTCAGTTGGTTAAGCGACTGCTTTCGGCTCAGGTCATGATCCCAGAGTCCAGGGATCGAGTCCCACATTGGGCTCCCTGCTCAGCAGGGAGTCAGCTTCTCCCTCTGACCCTACCCCCTCTTGGGCTCTCTCTCTCTCATTCTCTCTCTCTAAATAAATAAAATCTTAAAAAAAATAATAAACCCTGTATGAGAAGAGAAATAATAAAGTTTAGAGCAGAAATGAAATAGAAACCAAAAGAACGGTAGAACAGATCAACAAAACTAGGAGCTGGTTCTTTGAAAGACTTAATAAAATTGATAAACCCCTGGCCAGACTTATCAAAAAGAAAAAAGAAAGGACCCAAATAAAGAAAATAACGAATGAAAGAGGAGAGATCACCCAACACCGAAGTAATACAATTGTAAGAACATATCATGAGCAATCATATGCCAACAAATTGGCAATCTGGAAGAAATGGATGCATTCCTAGAGATGTATAAACTACCAAAACGGAAACAGGAAGAAATAGAAAACCTTAACAGACCCATAACCAGCAAGGAAATTGAAGCAGTAATCAAAATCTCTCAAAAACAAGAGTCCAGGGCCGGATGGCTTTCCAGGGGAATTCTACCAAATAGAAGAATTAATACCTATTTTTCTGAAGCTATTCCAAATAATAGAAATGGAAGTAAAACTTCCAAACTTGTTCTATAATGCCAGCATTGCCTTGATCCCAAAGCCAGACAAAGACCCCACCAAAAAAAGAGAATTACAGACCAATATCCCTGATGAACATGGATGCAAAAATTCTCACCAAGATACTAGGCAAAGGATTCAACAGTACATTAAAAGGATTATTCACCACGACGAAGTGGGATTTATCCCTGGGCTGCAAGTGGTTCAACATCCGCCAATCAATCAATGTGATATACTACATTAATAAGAGAAAGGACAAAAAACATATCATACTCTCAACAGATGCAAAAAAAG